AATCTGTGGCTACGCGGCTACGGAGCTACGCATCTACGCAGCTATGTGCCTAAAAAGGTTATGCTTAGGGTTAAGGTTAGGGTTATCATTAGGGTGAAGGTTAGGTTACGTACCCCGTAACTACGTAGCCACTTAGCTACGTAGCTCCGTACCCTTGTATCTCCGTAGCCACGTAGCTACGTAGCCTTGTATCTCCGTAGCTATGTAGCTCCGTAGCCATGTAGCTCCGTAGCCACGTAGCCACAAAGCTATGTAGCTCCGTAGCCACGTAGCTATGTTGCTCCGTAGCCACGTAGGTATGTAGCCTTGTGCCGAATTTATATCCTCACCCGTGTACCTCATAAGCCTTGTGGCCACGTAGCCACTATTTTAAGAGGTACAGCTTCGAGTGGCAGGGTATTCTGCAGGGTATTCTTAGCTCATGAGATAATCCAGTTGAAAACCCACAGAAGCGCGTTAAAAACATTAGACTGGCGCCCAACGCGCCAAACTAATTCCACTCGCGCATGCGAAGACTTAAATGCATCTCTTGATGAGCATCATAAGAATTGTATAGTAGACAGTAAGGAGAATTAACAATGAGATCTTTTTACTGTTTTTCAAACATGAAATGAAAACTCAAAAGAAAAAAATCTATTTCCAATCTTCTGCTCATGGATCCTCCTGAGCACGTAGTATCTGACCTCACTCGTCTAGTCAGCTTTACCTCAAGAATAGATGGCATTATTGTTGCTATTATCATTGCCGTTGCTTTCAACTCTGCTGTATGTATCCATGAGCAGAACTTGGCACCGTCGTACATTTGTGATTTGCTTACATCTTACACCCTATAGCTTGAAAACATATGGCGCAAGATCCTTCTCTGTAGCAGCACCATCATTATGGAATGCTTTGCCATGTAAAATTAGAAATGCTCAGTCTGTGTCTGTTTTTAAAATTAGATTAAAAACTGTTCTTTTTAGAAAAGCCTTTTATAATTAATATTAGCTGTCTTAAGTGTTAATGTTAAAGTTTTTGTAGGCGCCTTTGAACAGGAGGACTCTGGCGCGGTATAAATCTTTTATTATTATTATTATTATTGTTATTATTATTATTATTAAAACAGGTAAGAGGGTTAAAGAGAGGAAAAAAGGTGAGAGGGGCTATTCTCTATTTACCGCTCTGTATAGTCTGTTCATGAAGAAAGATCCCCGCCCCGTTCACCAGAAAACCATGTGACCCCTCCTTCTCCTTAAAAAAATTCTTCAAACTCCCCCTCCCTCAGCAATGCTTGCATTTTATTTCGTGTACTTTTAGCATTCGCACCTGGCCCTCTCTTAAACGCTTGATGTTATTTCATTTTCTTATCCGCCAAACAGTGTGTTTAGAAAATAAGGAGAAGTAATTTACTGGCCGCTTGCGGAAGCCGTAAGTAAGAGTGATAAACCCACATAGAGAGACTGATTTCCTTTGAGTGCCTACCTTGCAAAGAGAGACGTAATTTTGATTCATTGACCCAATTTTATTGCACATACCTTCATCTAACAGCAAAAGCGAAACCCTACATTCTAAATCCCCATTAGTAAAATAAAAGCATGATCATTGCTTCATGTTGCAGGCAGTATATCCCTTGAACAGAGCAGTTCAATGTCTTTACTATTTACTGAACAAATATGTATCCGAGGGCCTTGATATCTTTGTCTCCGTTGTCACCATCCCAGAGCTGTATTTCCACACGTGTTTTCGAACGACGATCCTCCAAATCCGATCATGGAATCAGGGCTACTACAATCACCTTGTTCGTTACCCAGAATTCCAATTCGTACCTTCCTATAGTCGCCTTCCACAAACGAATTGAACTCTTCATGGTTGCGGTGTTCCTGCAAGGAGGCAGCGGGACCGATCAGCTTCTTCCATTCATCACGACCCAGCGAGGTAGCACGGTATTGACCATCAGCAATGAGAGCATTCGGTGAGAGTGCTTTCTGATCCATTGGCAAGAAACTGCTTTCTCCATCGACATTCATGCCGAGACAGATCTTGTTAAAGGACGTGCTCCAGTAGGTTGGTAACAGGGTCTCGAAATGGCCCAGTCCGGTATTTCCATTTTCGGGAGAGATTGATGACTCAGGAGACCATGTGTTTGAATTGTAATGGAAGGTGTCCTGCGAGATCAGGAAATTTGCAACTTAGTGGGGGGCGGGAGTCAAATAGTTTTCAGGGGGAACGGAGAGGGAATCAGAATATAACATAGTAGAAAAGGAGGACTAAAGACAGCTGACCACCAGTGGGGAGGATCACTGGAATATTACAGAG